ATCTGTATGGTAAATATAACATTTTGTCTGTAAATACGTAAATTCTCATTTCATCGAATGCTTGCCTTGCTGCAGGCTGAGTGATTGTGGGTATAGCTGGACACGCTGTTGCAAGTGGAGCATATTTTTTCAGCTGATGGAAGCTCTCCTTTGGGTGCAGTTGAGTGTCAGGCAGCAAACTGAGATCCCAGCAATGCTGGTGTGATAAGTATTTGGAGCTGTCTGTTTGCCGTCAGCTTATAAACAGGAAATTCTGTTTCACTGGTGGAGTCGAGTCGGGGAGGGGCCCTTGGGAGCATCTAGCTGCAAATGTTGTAGCATTTGTTTATATTTGCATGTAATGTAGTTTATCTTTTCTGCTATTCTTTCATGGCTAATTTGCCTGCATGAAAAGCACGATGTTTACATAGTGGAGGTTTGTCACTTCCAGCTTGTCCAGCAGCCTGGAAAATGACTAGAACGTAATAAACAGCCCAAAGAATGTTTAAACATGTGAGAAACCAAGCCGCAGCAAACATGCAAAAGACGGTGAGTTTATCTACAAAGACTGCTAATGCCCTTATCATACGTGAGAAATCTGCAGGGCTAAATTTGATATTTCCTGCTACGCAGGTGCATGCGAAAAAATATATTAAAAATCATCTGACAACATCACCTTTACATTGGTTGTTTGGAACGGCTCTCACTCTGCCCTGAGTGAGAGCCGATTCTTTTGCACAGTCTTTAATCTTTTTCATCTTTGTTTGGCTTTCAAAAACAAATTCAGTTTAAAAATAACTTGCTCAGTGTTTGCTGAGAATAAGTTAGAAGTTGAGGACAGTTTGTTCTCAACTTCTAACTTCAGAAAACATCCGAACCTTTAAAATTGAGTTTAATAGGGACAAGTTCTGATGAGATCTTCTGTGAATTGCATCCATTGTTTAATGAGTCCAGATTTTTTCACATTTGCATCCACTATAATTCAGTCAGAGCAGTTTTTTCGTCTCTTCTTTAGGTTTTTTTCCTGGTTGATTTTGTAATTGGTAATTTTCAATAAGCTCTGACTTTTTAACATCGGTATGGAAAAATCTTTCTACAACATTACTCAATGAAAAATATTCCTACTACTGGAATTTTTCCACATTTTATGACAATCAGAGTTTTTTTTATGTGATTTTATGTCATAGACAAGTAAAAAAAATGGCTCCTAATTGTGAACTGGAACAAGCACAGGGACGTCCCCTCCAACTCACTGCTGTTTGAATTTGGTGTGAGTTTTTTTTGGGAGGGGAATCTGTGTCCACCAGCTGTGCAAATCTAGAGACCAAAATATTTGTCAACTCTCAGGTCAGAGAGTGAGTCAGATTGGATGGAGAATGCCTGGGATCTGCAGATTAAAGTCTGTCATTGACTTTTAATTAAGTACTGATCTGGACATATGAATATTGTTTAAGTTAAACTACTCCATTGTCGCTCCAGTTGTATGTTAAGGTCATACACATTCTGCAAGAACAGAGAAATGTGTTGTCTCTCCTTGTGCTGCAACATCAAGGTCATTCTGTACTTAAACCCGTGGTTTTTAAAAAATAGTTTGTTTTTGTTTTGGGCAGAAATCTTGTCCTGACTGGTTTCTAAAATATAAAATATATATGCAAATGCTGCAGGGTGAAGGAATTATGAAAATATCACAAGAATTCTTGTGACATGTATGAAATATCCTGAAAGATTTTTTTTTTTTTCCCCACCTCAAGTAAATGAACAGATTTATTTGTTAAGGGGTGCAAAATACAAATGTAGGGCAAGTTGTGTTTTGTGTCAGTTTATGAAATGCCCCAAATACACTGAGGTTTGTGGTTCTGACATAAGCTGTACAAGGACCAGCGGTAGTTTGTTGGGAAATCTTTACATCTGCGTGGCTGAGTGTTGAAAGATAAATTATTTAATTATAGACGCAGGTCAGACGATTTTACAGAAACAAGGTCATTTAGACCACTGAACAAATAATCATTCATTGTCCTCATTAGGGAAAGTAAATAATTTAAAGTTGCATAAAGTCATGGGTATGCATCACTATTCTGTGAAATGACTGAACGTTTAAAAACGGCAGATTTGAGATCTTCTGTGTCTGAAAGCCAGAGCGACAGCAGAAGGCTGAGTCTAGCCTCTGAGGCGCGACAGGATGCAGTAGCCGGCAGTCTGAACTTGGTTGCCGTTGCTCTCCGTCACTTTGATCTTTTTGCTTGATGCAGTTTTTCTGCAGCTGTCAAGACATCAAAGATTGTGTTGACATTGATGGTCTGCATTCAGATGAGCGTGTGTACCCCTTACACAGCATCCTCTGCGAGCATGACTGGCAGTCTGCTTGCGAAAATCTGCACCTGATCTTTTGCTCTGGTAGAAGAAAACGTCTTATTTATCCTTTCTGTGTAGGTTTGAACCGTGTCTAATTATATTAGTCCATTATATTGGACTATTTCCTCCTGCATCACACTTTATGTTAAATTTATCTACATTTTTCCATCTGGATTACACCTGTTTCTTCACTCTACAGGCAACCCCAGTGTGTGAATGTCAGCTCTTTGAGTAAAAAAGGCAAGTCAAAACCAAGCTGATGCAGTGCCTTCTCACCATTATTAATGTTTACACCCACAACAGGGTTTCATAGCATTAAAAAAAGAACAGGTCAAATTCACCGTGTTGCACCATGTTTGTATATTTGCTCAGCAAACCTGCATAAGAACTTTAGTAATATTTCATGTCACACGGGGTCTCTTTGTGCAAAGATAAGAAGCATGCAATCCTGTGTTCCAGCTCGGATTGGATTTCATGAAGCCTCAGTCACATCTGCTTGTAATCCTATCATCCCTTCTGAAATAAAAAAAGACGGGGGAAAAAAAAAAATCCTCCTCCATACAGTACCAGGTGGAATCTTTGTATAAGATGATTGTAGCACACAAATGGCTCTGCGTGTTAAGCCTTCTCCACCCAGCCATGGCTTGTATTATCAGGAACTGGGTCAGTGAGATGAAATGTTGTATGTGGACGTGGTAGACCAGTTCAGGGGTTTGTCTTTGCTCTGCACGTGTTCTCATGTGTGTGTGTGTAAAGGGGGCGCACCGTTCATTCAGACCCTGGCAATCTTTCACGATCCCGCCGATCCGGCCATCCCACCCTGCTGTGTGTCAGGGCGCTCTGCCTCGGGGTTCGGGGACGTCGCCGAATCTAGGACCCTCTCTGTGGGACGAATATAAAAATAGCTCATTGAGTTTGAACACAAACGGGGGCACAGTAAGCACTATCGGCGCCGTCACACGCAGAGGAGCTGCAGCTAGTCTGAATCACGTTCCAAAAAGAAGTCAGAAGGCTTCGCAGTGGCACAGAAAACGACTAATTTGGTATTTAGAGACGATCATAATGTCTGCACACAGGGGTAAAAAGCAGTGCTATCTATGTTACAGTTATCATTTAGTTAAAAGCGTGACGGTATTATAACCGTTTTGTGTTTTTGTTTGCTGATCCAATGAATAAGCCATTTATTGGCTTGGGCCCGTGCCTTGTTCTCACACAATGCACAAAGAACTCCGGCTGAAAGGAGATGGAGTAACAAGGCTTAGAGTTCAGCTACAGTCTTCATCACTGTCGTTGGTTATTTGGCAGTCGCTCACATCTGAATAATAAGCAAAAGATACAAATATGAATCATGGATAAACAGGGCAAAGAGAATTATGCCGTCCCGTACGGCTCATTTGGGTGGATGCAAGCGGCAATAGTGTGACAAAACAGAAAGTTGCTGGTTGTTTGCATGCATGGATGCAAATACGATGGATAACGGTTTGCTGATGAGATAACATGAAGTCACATGTTGGTAATTTGTGTTATCTTCACCAATAAGCAAATCCTGCCCACAGACCAGAATTTGCATGCAGTGTGTGGAGGTTTAGTGTTAAAAGGAGAACCTCTTGGTTTTTCTATTGCAAAAGTATTCATATCACATAGTCACAGCTATCAGAAATTAAAATATTTTTCCAATAAAAAAGCTGCAAGTCTATCGGTATATATCCCTAGCCTTGCCTGTCCAAATCTTACCAGTTAAGACGTAACTCCGGACTTTAACTGGGCCATTCAAATGTGTGAATATGCTTTGATTGATGCCATTCAAGCTCCAACCCAGTGTTCAGACTTTTGTTGATTCTTAACAGGTTTAGTTGAGAACTATGACCATCATTCTGACCTCGTAGACCAAAAGTGTTCATACATGCATACGTGGGTCGAATCTCTGTTTTACAAAAATCCAAAGCGTTTTAAAAAAATGTTTTATGGCTTAAAGAGTGACTAAAAGCACGCTACGTTCTTTTCAGGGAGGAATAACATCTTAATTTAGTTTCTTCCTAAGCTGCCATAAATAAAAGCCTCTGGTCTGATGAAATGACTGAGCAATCGGGATCCCAAGTGAAGCTCGGTATGAATGTCATGCTTTGAAACGCTCCACGTGGCTCGATGTCGAAACCTTTTCCAGGGCGCACAGGATCTCTGGAGTTTCAACACGATGATGACTGGAAGCGTATAAAAAAACACCCAGAGGCCCTTGTTGTACCTTTTACAAGTGAAATCTATAATAAAGTGAATCTTGTGTACAACAAAAAACATTAGTCATGCTTGCAAATTGTATTACATAAAGCAGCCGAGGAAATAAATTGTTAAATAAGACTTAGAGATGGTTTGGCCTAAATATTCTCAAGCACATAAGTGCTCATTACTTATTAATAGACTGAGCTTCGTGAATCAAACCAACAAGTTTGCTTTTATGACAATGAAACCCTCACAATGCTTTCCTAAGAAAATACAAAGCAGGTTTATTAAATCAGAGTAGCTCTGTTTCCTGAACCCTCTGCTCTAAGCATTAAAGTTAGGTCATGAATGATATGAAGCAAGCTGCTCTGAATGCATCTGGTCCCACAGGAGAGAGTATTGATTCTGTGATCGTCCTTTGATCCCCTCCTCTGCTCTGGTTCCCGTTGCAGGTTGAAAGCTCTGGTTTCGACTGGAGGCAAAAACGTCCAGGCGGCTTGCGACTGGTGAGAGCAACACAAACACATCTATTCACGTTCTGTGTAGCACAGAACAGGAAAATATATGTTTTGGAGACAAACATTTGCAGTCCTTACTTCAAAGAAAATGTTTTGAATCTCTGCGGCTTCTCATTACTGCCCTCTGCTGGATTATAAACGCTCTTCCTGTCCTCTCCTTGTTTCTGGCTGCTCTCAGGCTCTTCTCCCATTTGGACGACCCTTTCCTGGACGACCGCCTGCCCAGAGAGTATGTGTTGTACCTGCGGCCCAGCGGACCTCTGCTCCAGCAGCTCACACACTTCTGGAAGCAGTCCCGCCTCACCTGCGGGAAGAACAAGGCCCACAACATCTTCCCTCACATCACCCTCTGCCAGTTCTTCATGGTAACTTTATGCTTGCTTTTTATTAACGTTAACTGGTAACCTCACTTTTTGTTTTCAATCCCCTGTTGTTCAGTTTAGTCTAAGACCGAAGTTCCTCTTCTGTGGAGACAGATTGTCTGAGTCTGCATTTGCGTGGAGACTATTTCCTTTCTGAAAATACAAACCTTGGCAAAAAAAAAAGTATATATAAAGTATATATAAAGTGTGTGTATATCTATCTATCTATCTATCTATCCATCTATCTATCTATCTATCTATCTATCTATCTATCTATCTATATATATATATATATATATATATATATATATTTATATATATATATATATATATATATATATATATATATACACATACACACACACATATATATATATAAATATATATACTCCATTCGGTCTGTTGATATGTGAAACTGATAGAAACTGAAAAGCTGTATCTGCTCTGAAATGTGACTGTAGAAAGCCTGAATAAAATTCACATAAATTAATTCAGAAATTAATTCAGCTATAGGGAAAGTTGTAATAAGATGTTGACATGATGTATCATTTTCCTTCCAGTTCAGAATAAGCACACGACTATCACACAAAGCCTAACAAAATACATTGAACTTTGTTCTCTTAAGATGTGAAAAGGTTTACGGCATTGTAGTTGCTGATGCTGTTTCATTTGCTTCTTCTTCTGTGATCACCAATTATCTTCTGCACCCCTCAGTGTGCTGATGAGAAGGTAGAGGCTCTGACTGACGCCCTGCAGACCACCGTGGCCAAGTGGAAAGGTCGCATCCCCCTGCCTCTGCCTCTGGAGCTCTACATCTCCTCCAGCTTCATTGGGCTTTTTGTGGAGGAGCAGATGGCCGAGGTTCTGAAGAGCTTCGCTGCTGACTTTGCAACCGAGGCGACATCTAAAGCAGGTTTGTCCCTTCAGATGAGTGCAGAGCGTTGATTCCTTCTCTGTGAAGGGAGCAGCTACAGGACATTATCGGGGCTCTTAAGTCATCAGCCCAGACTGACTGTGTTGATTTGACTTCATCAAGTCCTTTTGGTACCAAGATGTAGATACTGTAATAAAGGTTATCATCTCTAAATGGAGAATTATTGTGGGAGTAAATTCACATCTTACACATTTTTGTCTTCGATTGGGTCTGAAGAATTGTAAAAAGAGCTTAAAAAAACAGTTTTTTTTAACAATAAGTCAATGTTTTTTGGTGTCTGGAAAATGAGCCACATCAGTAACCTTCCAATTGTTAAGTGACATTCGACGGTCACTGTGCCGTTACCTAGCAACTTAAGCTAGCAAAGCAGCAGAACAACATGTTTGGTCAGCTCGTTTTACTGCTGTATACTCTGTACAATGGCTTCTGGAAAAGACAAGTGTTTTGTTGTTGACTTCACATTTGTAAATCGCTTGCTGCATTCTTGTTTGCTGTGAAGGAGGCTCTACTTCTGCTTTTCAAAGATTTACGGTTGTATAATTGTGCACTTGTATGCAGCCATTTTCATGTGCCAGTGTAAAGTTTATTTGGATTTAAAGGGACAGGACTCCCTAAAACATGTCATTCTAAAAGGATCTCAAAATATGCAGAAGTAACTAAACTAAAATGTCATTACTTAAGTGTGATTTTGTGAAAAACAATTTGCAAATATGTTCAGTGTAGCCGAGTGACCTATTCTAACTTGTTAAAGGAAGCGTTAAAGTCACCCTTACGCAAAGATAGATATTGAGGAAATTAGTTTCTATCCGTGAGAAAATGGTACTTAATGTTTTATCAATGTATGTGTGTGTGTGTTTTTTTTGTTGTTTTTTTTTACAGATGTCCACGTTGAGCCCCATAAGAAGCAGCTCCATGTCACCATGGCGTACCACTTTAATGCCAGCCATCTTCCAGTTCTGGAGAAGTTGGCCAAAAGCATAGAGGTGACCGCGGGCTGTGATTGGCTGGCTGTGCTCCTCTCCAGGGATATACGCTTTGCTAACCACGAGGTAGCCCTCCCTCCACCAAGCCGGTAGCTCCTCTTATGAAAGCATCTCTCCCAACGACTCTTCTTCTCCCCCTGCAGACGCTTCAAGTCATGTACCCGTACGTGCCTCAGAACGACGACGAGCTGGAGCTGCTGCAGGGGGACTTCATCTTCATGTCTCCAGTGGAGCAGAGCACAGCCAGCGAGGGCTGGCTGTACGGCACTTCGCTGGGCACCGGGTTGTCCGGCCTGCTGCCCGAGAACTACGTGAGCCGTGCCGACGAGTCCGACACGTGGGTTGTTCATGGGTAAGGATGGGGAAAAAAGCACATTCCCGACAAGGACACTGCTGTAGGCTTGCTGTGTGACTTTCTAAGTACAAGGAATAAATAAAGCTGAGTTTGTTCTTGTGTTGATCGGCAGGTCTCACTCCTTTCTCAACTGTGCCTCTCCATCACCCTCTGGTAACCCCATGGGAGGGCTTTTATTTGATGGACAGCTAAATGACAGTCTGCTTGACAGTCTTATGGATCCTTCCAGCCTCACTGGCCTCCTTCCACCTATGCAGGTACATTTCACTGTAAACCGTCCATTGCCTAAAATGCCTGCTTTAATACAGATAACTGTGAACTTTGATGTGGAATTATATGAAGGAGTTTGAGAACAGGTCTGTTTGAGATAACCTATAATCCCCCCTGGATCTTTTTCCACATCATGTCCTATTAAAACCACAAAGTTCAGTGTTTGTATTAGGATTTTATGCTACAGGTCAACACCAATGAAAAGAAAAGGAAACATTTTCTGTCACTGTAATTATGGATTATATACTTTGCAGTATATATCCACCAAACTGATGTTTTTCCCTGTTTATCTTGCAAAATACCTCAACCTTACCTTTTTTGGATGTAGCACATTTATGAACAGCACTTCAGTCTCGTTCAAAGTCTCTTAAATTATTTTTAGCATAATGTTTCCACTGCCATGTTTTATGACTGGCGTTCTGAATAAATCCAGCTGTAGATCTGCACAACTGGATTTAAACTGAGATTAATTTACTCAAATTAGATATCTTCTGAAGATCAGCTGTTTGCACTGGGATTTATATAGAGGAAACAGAGTAAAGAGGGCTGAATATAAATCTATACCACATATTATGGATTTTTAACATACATGATTATTTTTTTCCCGTTTTGGAATTATTTACTGCTTTTTGTGAGTCTGTCACAAAAATCCTAATATGACACATGCATGTAACCTGACAAAATGCGAAAAAGCGCGAGGAACACATTCGGAAAGCTTGGTAAACGCCTACGACGTTTCCATCTCAGGTACCGAGGGCAACCACTCACTCCTCCTCGTCCAAGATGAGGCTGTTTGTGTGTCGCCATGGCGAGAGGATGGACGTGGTGTTCGGCAAACACTGGGTCACCCAATGTTTTGATTCCAAAGGTGGGGGATGCAGAGCTGTGATGCGGTCTTTAAAATGCCAGTGTTTTCTTCTCTTCTGAGACTTTCATCTGTGCTGCACAGGTGGATACATTCGTTCTAATCTGAACATGCCGTGCAGCCTGCCAAGCAGGAGCGGAGGTCACCGGGACTATGAAAAAGACTGTCCGATTACTGTGTTTGGCTCCACACAGGCCCGTCTAGTAGGTCTGTCTGTGTGTGTGTGTCATTTGCAGGTTATTCACAAATGCATGGTGTAGTTGGAATTCATTATGAGTGACTGTGTGTTTTGGCCCATCTCAGGTGAAGCCCTGCTGGGAAGCCACACAACAATAGACTTTGTTTACTGCTCTCCTTCCCTCCGCTGCATCCAGACTGCTCAGCACATCCTCCAAGGTAGGAGCTCATCCTCCTTCAACTCGTCAGTAGACTGACCACCAATGGCTGGTGTCAAACATCATCTAAACATGAAGTTGTATGTTTTAGTGTTGGGTCTAAAATTTCCAGGCTCTTATATCAAACCAGTTAGACTGGAGAATGGCTCCAGTATGTTACGACAACACTGGTGCCAATAGACTCAGTGGGAGTTAAAATGTGAAGCTTTTATCAACTTGTTCAGTCATCCAAGACTTTTAGTGTCTTTTCTGTGTGGAAAAAATGACACATTTTGTCAAAATAACCTCTCTGCTTCTCAGCTTCATTCTCCGTTTTAATCTGTTTCAGGTCTCCAGCTGGAGGCCAAGACAAAAATCCGCGTGGAGCCCGGTTTGTTTGAATGGACCAAATGGGTTTCAGGCACCAGCCTCCCGGCTTGGATCCCACCGGCTGACCTAGCGGCCGCAAACCTGAGTGTGGACACAACATACAAGTACAAAACAACACAGATGTTGGATCATTTTAAATGTTATGCTGCGGTACAGTTAAATCCTCATCAACTTTGATGGGTTTTTTTATTTTTTTTTATTTGTTTTTTTGCTGCAGACCTCATTATCCTGTAAGCAAACTGACCGTGTCAGAGTCCTACGATACCTACATCAGCAGGAGCTTCCAGGTGACCAGAGAGATTCTGACAGAGTGCAAAAGTCTGGGTAAACTTTTTAAACTTTTTCACATTTTAGTTTTGGAGAGGTTTTGTCTCATACACCAACACAATGCAATGCATAAATGTGAGAAGAAAAGACATTCAGACACCGTTGGCAACATGTTTTTATAAGTAAAAATAAGTTAAGTGCATTTTTATTCAGGCCCCTTTCATCTCTTATTCTTAAATAAATTCTTGGGCCTGGATGCTGGTCAGAGTTGATAGGAAGATGGGTGGAGTTATAGACCGAGCAATCATGAAGGAAAACTTGTTAGAGGCAGCAAAAGGACAGGTGGAGGTTTAACTTCCTGCAGGTTAGAGATGTTTTAGTTCAACACCTTGGTTGTAACAACCTCCTTGGCATGTCAGTGTTCTGCAGAGGAATGCTAACGAGTCGTCGTTTGATTCAGGTGTGTTGAACCAGGGAGAGAATTAAAACATGCAGGACCGACTTTGGAAACGATGAACCCAAACATGCAGTTAGAGGTATTACAATAGGTCAAAACATGGTGATTTATTTTAAAATGGCCCGGTTAAAGTCCAGACCTGAATTCAATTGAAAGGCTTGAAATGAATGTTTTTTTGCAATGATTATTTTTTGCAAAACTTTATACAATTATGCAGCTGTTTTTGTTACTGTATCTGATAAAATACTGCTGAAAAATATAGATGTTTTTCCGTAAGATAAAACTTGAAAAAGCTCAGTGGGTTACCAGTTACAGTACATCCATATGTTACCTCTGTCTCACAGGAAGCACGGTCCTGATTGTGGCCCATGCTTCCTCCCTGGAGGCCTGCACTCGCCAAATACAGGGCCTCAGCCCCCAAAACTCCAAGGACTTTGTCCAAGTTGTCCGAAAGGTCAGTTCTGCTTTATCTCACGTTACTTTCAACCTCTTACTGTACCCCCCTCTAGTTCCTTGCCTGTTCTTCATTCGTAACATGCACATCTGTCTTCTCCTGCTTGCAGATTCCGTACTTGGGTTTTTGTGCTTGTGAAGAATTGGGAGAGACAGGCGTGTGGCAGCTGGTCGACCCACCCATCTTGCCTCTGACACATGGACCCAATCACAGTTTCAACTGGAGGGAAATGCTAATGCACGACTGAAGGATATGCTGTTAGGCTCCCTATCTTTTGTCAGCTTGAACTGCTGAAACGTTATTTATTTTTTTCCTTTTACAATTCTATAATTCCATTCAAACTACCGAAAGGACAAAGAGAAACACAGAGTAGCTTCCAATGAAAGACATTATGCAAAAAATAATATATATATATATATATATATATATATATATATATATATATATATATATATATATATATATATAAGCCAATAAATTGCAGCTATTGTACTTAGATGTGACGCTCAGGAAAGAGAAAACCCCAGCCTGTGCTGAGATCACAGCAAAAGCAAGCTTCAGGTTGGATGGCATTTTTCTGCCTGTCTCTCTATATGGCACTTATTTACTGAGAGTGTGGAGGTGCTACAGAAGAAAATTGGACGCTTCCTGCGCGATGCGATGAAACAAGATTTTTATCCGGAGCTCTGTCTCTGTCTGCGGCCCCTCCTCCAGCAGAGGGGGAAGTGGGTGGTGAAGACTTTGTACTCTGCTGCCTTTTCACACACTGTGACACGCATTAGTTGAGACACACTTGTTCCACAAAAATATTTTTCCACTTGTCAGAAGCTATTATTTAACTTGTAGCGTCATCCCCATTGTATAGAAGAAGCACAGAAGAAAAGGTCGACAATCAGACAGGGGAGCACCAGTCTTAATTGTTTTCGGTTGTTGATGTCAGCTTTAAAAAATTTTATTATTGCTGTTCTGGTCCTATAAATTTCATATCATTTCCTTCCACAGTTACACTCATGATACCATCTGAACATTTGGCCCTCTAGTAAAGCCACTGCCCACATCTTATCAGTTGATGTGACAAATGAAATATTTAATATTAATTCGCAGGATTAACTGCATTGCTACTGATATGCAGGTCCCTCTACTAAAGTTATTGCTTGTTATTGTCATGACCATACCTGAAACTCTGTTAACCTCATAGAAACTTTGCTTTTCAAACTCTTGGTGATTCTTTGATTTTTCTTTTCTTTTTCCCGTTACATGAAATAATTTTAGTACTCATTGCTTAATGCATCTTAATGCTGTATGATTTGAAATCTGTCACACTCTATAAATTAATAAAAGACAGTTTTGGAGCTGTTATGATCTGTTTATTTGTGTTCTGCAAGAACAAATGCTCTTTGTTGAAGAGTTGGTAGAAGAGGTTAAATCCATTCACCTTTCCATGTAATGTGTCATCATTCCCATGAAAGACATGGCGGTGGCAGCGTTATCCTGTAGAAATGGTTGTCTTCATCAGAGACAGAGAAACTTGGCAGAGCTGATGGAAGATGGATGGAACCAAATACAGGACAAGAGTTGAAGAAACTTAGTTGGCAAAAGATTGAACTCAGGCTGAGGTTCACCTTCACCATGGGTTGCAGGTGTACTTTCAATAAACAGTGTTTCTAAAAAAAAAAATTCAATCAGAGGGACTGGATCCAGGTACAATTGACACTTTTCAGACTACTGTTGGCAAAAAAAAAAAAAAACAACCAACCAACCCACGAATAAAATAAATAAAAATAAAATCACAAATAGGCTATGTGCACCTTCACCTTCTGTTGATTTTTTTCAACAAACTCAATAAAATATGTTAATGTTTTGTTACAAATGTAAAAGATATATTTGCATGTAACTTTATTGTATTATATATTTAAAGTATATTTTCTCAGTAAATTCCACTGAGCCATTAAACACTGAACCGTGTCCACCTACAATAATCAGTGAGATTGAACACACCTGTGAAGTGCGTCTTCCGATATCTGTTATCAGCAGCCATAACGTTATTATATAAAAAAAATGATTTCTGGCTATATACCTTAACTTTAACAATAGTTATTATCTGGCGGGGTAAAATGTGCTAAAACGTCTACATTTGTCCCTCCGCTCCCAACAGGAAGACATCTATGAGCTCAGGTAGGCTAAGCTAGCTACTGTTTCTGTTCCGTTGATTATGTTTTTAGTTTGATGCTGCTTTAACGTTTTTAAACACTGGGAAATGTTATCCGTACAAAGTCAAAATTTAATTTAAGCCTCAGGTTGAAGTAGACAATATCTGAAGTGCCTTTCACTTCAATGTTCCGCAAATGATTAGCTAGTTAGCTAGTTAGCCATAGACGTTTGAATTTTTTTTACATCTGTTGTCAAGATGCTTATACTAATTTAAGTTTCTAAGAATAACATTGAGAGCCTTGTGTTTAAGAAATGGGGTGGAAGACAATTTTGTGAATGTTTTCATAAACATCATCTCATCTAAAGCGCGACTCCATTAAACGGAGTGACAGAATATGGCCTCGGATCTTGAGCGAAGTAAGGTCGTATAGTTGGGTTATTATTATTTTTTGGTTGCGGTTATTGTTGTGAACCTTAGTTTGTTTGAAAAATCCAATTTATTCGGTATCATGTAGTAAGCTATTTTAATAACATCTGACAAATTATTTTATTGAGAAAAACCATTAGTGTAAATTTATCTTAATAAATCAGCAAAATACTATAAAATTTTGAAATTACACTTTCTTGCATCTATGTTTCTAACACATAAATTGTGGAAACTGACCAACACTTGCCTCGAAGTGAAAAAAAATCCTCACTTGATGGTATTTAGCTATAGTAAATACTGTATGTCATTTGTCGTTTTGTCAAATGACATTAGATTCTCATTTTCTAACGAAACCAAGTTTTATATGTTATTAATATCCTTTTCATTCCACTTCTTAAAACCTGATCTGGTTTGCCAGATGTAGGTTTTCTGTTGGGACAGAGTCAGTTTCATACAATACCACAGTTAAATTTTTCTTTATGGGAATTTTTTTGTAGTATTTATTTTTAACTTTTTATTTGCTATAAAAAATGGAGCTCAGCTTATGTCTACTAAAGGTGCATCAGTGCAAACTGCATTGACTTTTGTCAATAATGCCAGGACAGCAGTACGAAGGTAGACCTTTAGACTGACTAAGAAAGAATCAAGTTTTGCAATTGCCGCTTAAGTCTGAACCTCAACCAGACTGAATTACTGTTGCGTGAGACAGCTTAAGACAGCTGTGCATCTAAAAAAAAGAAATGGAGCCAACCTCAGTGGACCAACCAAAACCAACCACATGTTGACTAATCTAAAACTGCCTGTGAATGTAACTCACTAAAGCTTACAAACCAGTGAGTTCAAAGTACCTCTGCTACTTTAATCTACAGTTATAGAGTGAAATAAGTTATGAAATGAAATAAGTTATTCTCATATATATATGTGTGTGTTTTTATTTGTCTTTAGCTGATCTTCAGCTCAGATATCTTACTGATGAGATACTCTTTTATACCTTGTATGAATCATTTCAAAATTGAAATATTCATTTGATTTTTACTTCAAAATATTTGTAAATATTTATTTTTTAAAATTATATTTCACTATATTTGAGTCAAATTTGCTAGCCATGTTTTCTGTCATTTTCCGTTTCCTACTGCATGTGTGTAGGAATCAATTACATGATGAGTACGCAAACTTGTGGCAGTGTGTACTTCCAAAATGAAAGTAAACACTAGATGGTGCTGTGGACCAATAACAGTAGATATCATGCTTCGCTATAAATTGGCACATCTGAGTCATGAGTCAGAAATAATGCTTATTTATGTCATAAACATTAGTTTTTAATTAATTCTTTGAGCCAGTTTGGTAATTTTTGCAACAACCTGTTTGTGAACTGACTTGTTTTAACGTTTTGATAGGACGTTGGGTCAATGTCCTACCATTGCACCCATGCAGTGATAGATTATGTCTGATTAAAGTTTGATGTAGTTTTAAATCACATAAAATATTTGTTATTCCTCCAACCTTAAGGGTGACTGATAAACAGAAATAATTTTTTTAGGGTTTGTGTAGCACTTGGCAGATAGAGCTTTTGTTTTTCCCCCTATTTATTAATATTTTTTTTATACTTCAAATATAAAGATTTCAACATCCACATTTTTTAGCTTCAAAAAAAGTCTCAAAGTGAAAATTATATTTCATTTACTACTCTTTGAAACAACTTTTAAATTGTTTTGCAATCATGGTTATTGGTTTTGCTGAGTAATAACTCACTTGCAAAAGTAATGAATTAGACTGGCGATCATCAACTCTTCACCTCAACATAATTATAAAGATTCAGCTTGTTGATGTGACGGTTTCATGAAAAAAGGTCATTCTTGACGTAAACATTAACATTTAAATTTTTAAAGTAAGAACATAAACTGACTTAAACAACTGGGGATGTACTGGAATCTGAAAATGACCCTGTGACTACCTCTGGTCTGTATTTGGAAGATGAAATACTGATTAGAAAATAAACTGTAAAGGCATCAAAACTGAAAACCCACTTATTTTTATGCAAACCACATGTTCTTTGATAAAATTCGTTTTTGTGTTTACTAAAAATTAGATAGAGGTTAGTACATTCTTTGAGGACCTCTTACTATCATTTTTATCACTACTTCTTTAAATCTTCCCGTTATGTTTAATGTTATTTACATTTTATTGTGGAATTAAAACAAAATGTAAAAAAAACCCCAAAAATACCTGGTTGGTCATAAAGTCCTTAGAAAGAACATCATAATTGCTTGATCTGACAGAAAAAGTCAGCAAAATCCGGCTGCATCTTTTTCAGGAAGTGAAGTATTTCTGGCATTTTTTAAAAACTAAATTAATACAGTTTTCATTACCACAGTAGACTGTAAAATTAAAACTGAACAGTACCAGTGTTTTATTTTAGTGTGTTTGGTCATAATATTATCCAAGAAATAATTAGAAATGAAGCTTAGGAGTCCTTTCTGTCACCATGGAAAAAGCAAAGATCTGGCTTTTTTTTCACTAGTCTTTAGTTCAGTAAAACAAAAATTCAAATTGCATATGGACAACAGCAAGTTTAGCTCAGACGGCTTAATAATAGAACTACTACTGTGCAAAAGGTGACTCTGACATAATGTGACTCTTGTGCCTACTTTAAACATTCATTCGTGCTGCTGTTCAACTTTTTGTCTGAATTTAAAAGAAGGGTAATGTTTGATGTGTGTACAAAGTTGCAGAATCTACTCATTTAGCCGGACTTCCTTATATTAGTTTTATCACTTGGCATGATGAAACTGATTTACTGTATAATATAATGAAATTGCATTG